ACAACAACAACAACAACAACAACAACAACAACAACAACAACAACAACAACAACAACAACAACAACAACAACAACAATTATGTCAAGCGTATACTTATACAAAAAAAATGCTATACCGGAGTACATTCTCGGGTCACTGCCCGTAATTTTAACGATGGCTATAGCACCATTTTCTGGGGGTAGAAAGCTTTTGCACATAATACTAGTTCTAAGTAGTCCATTCTTGGGCTTGCTCTACCATTACTTCTTATTCTTGAGTATGGTGGAAAAGGAAAACTTCGATAGCGTTTTGTACTGGCTCAAGACAAAGCGTTTTCCGGGAAAACGGCGATTGTTTGGACGTGATCACCAGGAAATAGATATAGACGACCTTAAAAAAAACGTAGACTTGCTAAGAATACTCAAAGGTTGCATGGGAAATACATTGCACGATCGATATACGTCAGTGGTATCGATATTGTATATCGGTTTCGGTGTTTATGCTGGAATATCCAGAGTAAGAACAAAAGGCTCATGTCCTAGTGAAGATTGGCCAAACATTCCTTTATTACTGCTTTGGACTGTGCCTGCTATACTCGTGAGAGCATGCACAGATAAAGTGGTAATCAAAGATCCCGAAAAGGAGTTATATAATAAAGTAAAAGAGGAGTTAGAGGACGAAGAAATGGAAAAATTATATAGAGAAGTACAGGCGGAATTATGTGATGCAACGGAGGATAAAATAACGGAGGAAGTTGCTAAGAGAAAAAAGGAGTTAGAGGAAGAATTATATAGAGAAGTACAGGCGAAATTATGTAATGCAACGGAGGATAAAATAATGGAGGAAGTTGCTAAGAGAAAAAAGAAGAAATTGGATGATAGGACAAATGAGGAATTAGATCGTAGGATAATGATAAAAGTGAAAACTGAGAATTCAGAAGAAGTCCGAAGACATCTTAAAAAAGTGTTTTATTTTTCGCTAATAATTCCTTGGATAGCAGTAATGATTGCAATTTTCACTCCTCCAGTTTCATTTGCATGTCGTTCAAAATATTTAACTGTTATTTGCAGCATTTGGTCCTGCAACAACACACTTGCTTACAGATACTATTACGTTAGAAATCGCCCACTCCCGGGTATAGACAACGACAACCAAAGAATTACTGATATACTTGTTTATTCTCGGCTTGTGCTTAGTGGCCAAAAGAATTGGGATGACTTGTTTATGGTTGGTTTTTGCTTAGCGGGCTTTTTATTGGATGTGCTTTTATTCTTTTAATTTTTATTAGTGACAACTTTCCGTTGTGGGTACATTTGTTTGGATCATCATGCGACGTTGGAAAACAATGTGCTTTCTTATGATGGATGTTAGTGTGTAAAATTTCTTTCCGATGTATTTAATTTGCTTGTATTGCCTGTAGAATTGAGGGTGTATGTCTGGAAAATTTTTGTACAGTGTCCGATTTGATCTTGTAAGATAAACTGATATTTTATTAAATTAACTTGGCAACGTATTAATAAGTGAGATCCGGCGTATGCGATGTTTCATTGACGGCGACGATGACGTAGCACAGACATTCGAGCAAATGAAATTTCTACATGCATAATGTAATCGTACGACCTCCTTTGATTGTGAAAAGTTTTTTTGTCGTGCATCCCGAATACCCATTCTTCGATATTAAATGCAATTATTTGTAAGGCACTTTCCCATATCAGTAAGTCCGGATGAGATTTTATTTAAGTGTTCAACTATTTTATTCAGAGAATTTGTAAACAGTATCGAACTACTTCTTTTTTATTTTCTCGTAATAGACCATTAAAGAAAGTCCTTTTAAGATCTGATTATCTAAATCGACACCTAATACTGTAGCATATACCTTTATCATCTTGAAATAATTATGTGGGTGGCGGAGTTCCTGGTCCAATAACTAATGGTACATTAGTCTCATCAAGTAATGTAAGAGTTTTATTTGAGAAATCCACTTTCATTGCATTTTCCTGAAACCATGGCTGACCCAATACCAGTACAAATTTAAGTTGCGGTATATTAGAATAAAAATATCAGTGACTTTTACTTGCTTCCATTTAGGGCCTTGAGATAGGATCGAAATCTCTATTCCACAAATTATTCCCAACACATCGACCTTGCTAATGGGATTATATATTTCTGCATCGCAGGTGTCATCGATTTTCAAGCCTACGCCATTTACTACTTCCTCACCTATAATATTACAATTGGTACCGGAATCTAATATAGCTGTAACAGGTACTTTATTGATTTCGCAGGACAAAGATATCATTGTGAAGTTTTATTATAATTATATATTTAATAATATATTTTTACTCGTATTAATAAATAATATTATGGCTTCGACAAACAACTAAACCTACTATCGATTCAAGCACTAACTGGTCAACTAATTTGCTAAAAAATGGGAGTGGAAATTATTGGAAACAGCCACGAATCTCAGAATAATTATGGGGTGGTATCCACTGTTTGGCAGAGAAATGTTAGGGTTTACTATCTTGCTGAATCTCGTCCAGTAATCGTCCAGATTTTTTTACCCGCCACTTACATCGTAGACGATCACCCAATCAAGATGAGGCAATTTATAATGCTTTATTTTACATCTGGGATAATCAATGCATGATCTATTTCGGGTGTTAAATCTATTTCTGGATGTACCACAAGCATATAATTGTGACAATAGTTTAAAAAATTGATCTCTTTATTGATGTAAATACAAAACATTATCTATTCTAT